ACGGATTAAGTTCGTAAATAGAGGTACTACTGTATTTCTTTTAATGAACGAATGAATGGATATTTTTTCTTATGGTCAGGGACCAGAATTGCAAATAAATCACATTAAAAGGAAAGCAGGTGTGTGGCTACAGGGCCAAAGGGGAGTCAACACGGTTTGATCTGGGGGCCTCCATCTAATTTATAGCATCGTAACTACTCACAAGAAGCCGCTGTAGGTTCTCTTGCAACGTGTGCTACAGCGTTAAACCTCTGTCAGTTAGCGTTAGGGCAAAATGAAAGGAAGAACAGACGGGTGAGGGAGAAAACCCTTGCAAAGACTTGAGGAATTGATCACTGATCGCCTTTTTCGACAGCGTTAGAAACTTACTGCTGCATGGAGGATCTCGGGCTGAGGCGGACACAGAGACAGCGCCGGCTCGCTAACCTGAAAAAAGCCAATAGGATGCATTAAATTTACAGCCAGGAGTTCATTCTTCTTAGTGTATCAGCCTACCTCACAGGATTATAGTAAGGCAGGAGGAGGTCGCTTTTCTGAACCAAGAGAAGGTACATATGGACTCTGGAGATACGGGTGCTATGGGTAGAGAGATCTTCCTCGTTCATAACTTTGCTGCCCCAGTGGGCAGTCACAACTCTTCTGAATGAAGTTTTGGACTGCAGCCACCCACAATGTTTACCCCTAACCCTTCCCCAACTTGAAACCTTCTTGATGCCTTGCGTGGGCTAGGGATTCTGGGAGCTGAAGTTCAAATCATTGGGAGGACACGGTGTTGCGCAAGGCTGGCCCGCAGAATCGATGTGCCATGGCTTGGTCAGGGAAAACAAACCTGTATCAAATCAGTGTTTCTTGCTCTGCTAAGGTTCTGCTAAGGTGCTCTAAGACAGGGTTTCACAACCTCGGCAAGAGTGTGGACTTCAACTCCCAGAATTCCCCAGCTAGCTAGCTGGGGAATTCTGGGAGTTGAAGTCCACATGTCTTAAAGTTGCCGAGGTTAAGAAATCCTGCTCCAGGATGTATGCCCACAAACAGGGAGCAGAAATTACCAAAACGTCTTGAGATTGTATGGGAGAAGAAAAGAGAATGAGCCTGTGAATGTGGAAGAAAGCTGGACTCATTTGGTAATGCTAAATGAGGATTTAACATGATGTCTGAACACAACCAGCAATAGACATTTCAGCCAAGAGAAGACCGAAGATAAGAAGAAACTAGAATCACAGGAAATCCAGACAACTGAAGTTATATTAATCACCACTTCCAAACAATCATTTAGCACACAAAACTAAACAAGCCATTTTATGGTTTAAGTAAGCACGAGGCATGAATCCAACCCCCCTCCCCACCCCCATAGTACCGTGGTATAACATGATTTATTTAGTTATGGCTTAATGTGTTACAAACTCAGCCATTTTATTTGCAATGTCTGTGCTTCTGTGTTTATGACTGTGCTGTGTATAAATCCAGCTGCTCTGGCTTACTAAACAAATCATGGTTTAACACAATTTGCAAACCCAGCTGTGGCCTGTATGCATGAAATCTTAGTTCTGGATGACACTACTTTTCATGAATGCCAGTTATAAATTGGGACAAGGGGTATTAGCTGCCTATCTGAAGGCTGCAACTGAGTGCCCTGCAAATAAATCCAGTGTTATTATCATTATTTATTTAAATTTATTGCCCGCCCAACTCCAATGGACTCCAGTGTGTTACAGCATGCTCTTCTGTGCAATTCATTTTTTTTTTTTGCTTTTTTTACACAGTAAAAAGCAAAAAAAAGTCAGGAGTCTGAAGCCTGCAAAGGGAAAATGTGGACTCAGAAAGCAATTTTGCTTTTTTTATGCTTTAGTTATGGTGTTAGTTACTCCTGAGATAGCAGATCATTGTCATGGCTCAGTGAACTTTGCATGCCTGTTGTAAACTGATACCTGCAAGGGGTAAATGATTTTTTTTTTTTATGATTATTACAAGACTCGCATCTAGAGACTACGAGAGCTGTTCTGGATCGAGTCCGTCAAGCCGTTGTGAGGCTGACATTCCAAGGTGCTGCAACAAGAAAGCAAGGAGGGGAGGGAGAAGGAAAGAAAAAGACAGACCCACAAAAAGTGTAGAGATGTGGGTTGGAATCTACTTCATCTGAGGACACTGGAACGAGAATAAGGGTCAAAGAACAAAGCAGGCGCACATCGGTTTCCAACGCCCGGCCTCCTCCCTGCCTTGCTCACTCGGGATCTTTCCAAGGAGAAAAAGCAGGCTGGCAAAACGTGTACTGCAGACGAAATGAGGCAGGGAGAAGGGTCAGCTGGCAAATACGGGACAACGGGGGTAAAATAAACCCCAAAGCCGCATCATCTTCTAATAAAGTTACGAATGTAAAAGCAGGTGTGGCGCAGCAGGATTTTTGTACACATGTACTTGGGATCGGGACGTGTATTCAGTTGGATTTCCACCCCACCACTTGTTCAGGAGCTCCAGGCATTGCCTGCAGCTGCAGTTCTCAGGCTTTGTGGTCTCAGGACTCCTTTGCTATATAAACTGAATGAATGAATTAATTAATTAATTAATTAATAAAAATAACAGAGGACTCCAAGAGCTTTGGTTTAGGAGGGTTATATCTATCGATAGGTAGTGGATTAGAAATTAAAACAGAGACCCCCGAAAGAGTCTCGGGGGCCCCAGAGAACCGCTGGTCTACAGCATTCCTTCCCCTATTTCCCCGACAACAACCCTGCGAGGTGGGCTGGGCTGAGGAAGAGCAAGGGCTCAAATTCATCCAGGGAGCTTCGGTGGCCGAGGGAGGACTTGAACCCGGGTCTCTGCCGTTCTAGTCCGACACCTTCCCCACCCTGACTCTGATTCCCCGCAGGAAAGTCCGGGTGAGACCCAGATTTGTTTAAAACGAGCCCACTGAGATTGGAGGGACCGGCGCTCAGACGTCTTGTTCCTGCCAAGGACACCAAAGGGTGCTCTATGCCTGCGAGGCACTCAGACGTGCGCACGGACACGTGTACACCCCTCGCTCTGCAGACACAGGCTTGAATCACTCTCTTCTCCGCGGGCGCGCTCTGGGAGGGTCGGATTACAGCCCCCATCATCCCCGGCTCCCATGGGAGGTGTAGTCCAGCCCGCCCCGAGCGCGTCCGCTTGGGGGACTGGCCGGGGATGATGGGGGCTGTAATCCGACCCTCCCAGAGCGCGCCC